TCAGTGAGTAGAGAAGTAGGCTTAGTCTCTTCTCAGACCAATGTTAGGACTGTCCTCAGAGTCACACGTTTAATCTCTCTGGACTTCAGCCCTGTAACCTATGCAATGGATTGAGTGTCCAGGTCCTCTCCCGAATTCCTATGTTGAAATCTTCACCCGCAAGGGGATGGTGTGAGGAGGTGGTGCCTTTGGGAGGGGATAAGGTCATGAAGGTGGGCCCTCTCGGATGGGATCAGTGCCTTTATAAAGGGCCCCCAGAGAGCTCCCTGGCCTCTTCCACCCCAGGAGGACGCAGAGAGAAGGTGCCACCTATGCACCACGGAGCGAGTCCCCACACTCACGGCATCTGCCACGCCGGGATCTTCAGCCTCCAGAGCTGTGAGAGTGAATGTGGTCTGTGAGCTGTTTGTTCTACGGTGTTCTGTGGTAGCAGCACAGATGGGTGAGGACAGCCTATTAAATGCAGGAATCTGCCCACAGGATCTCCCAGACCTCTGTGGGACTTTACAAGTCTGTGGGTCTTAGAGCCTTCCCTGTTGGCAAGCTGGTGTTCCCTGGTTGGTAAACATGTCTATTGCTTTCCAACTTTATTTCACTCATCCTGGCTTCCTTTCCTGAGTCTGTTCCTCTCATGCCATTTACTCAGAATCGCACAGGTGGGCCATGGAAGATACCCTTCAAAACCACGTGGCTAAGGGTGTAGGAACAGCTGGGATGCTCATTGGAATGACCAGAAAACTTCAGAACTGCAGGTCAGGTCTCGTGCTGTTTCTGGAGGAGCAGGGCATCAATCATCCCTGCCTTCCCACTGTCTAGTTCAGTGCTTCTCAACCTCTGGGTCGCAGCCCACAGGAACTGTATTAAAGGGCCACAGCCTTAGAAAGATTGAGAACCCCTGGTCTAGTTAAAGGTACTATCACTTATGGATCACCCTTTAGATAGATGAGTTTGGCTCACTGGACTTGATGTGGCTCAGGTTCAATAACAGGAGAGATAGAGGGGGGTTCCGTAAGAACCCCAAAGCCGGAATGACCTGATGTTGTTTCTTGTCTCAGAGGTCCCCAGGTGTCCACCTGGTTGAAGGATTTGCTGGGAGGATTCGGAGACTTAGTATATAGTGGAACTCATGGCTAAGATTTATTTGAGCAAGAGATACAGAACACATCAGCCAGGAGAGAAGGTGCAGGGGGCAGAGCCTGGGCCAGTCCAGGCACAGGCGTGAGGCCTCTCTTCCACTGGAGTCACACAGGACACACTTACGCCTGTGGCAAGGAGTTGCCGATGATTGTGAAATGCAGCCCAGCAGAGGAGCCAGCTGGACACTTGCCATCCAGGATCTTTCTTGGAGTCTGTTCCCATAGGCACCTTTGCCTAGCACTGCTAAAATCACAGACTCCCAGAAGGAAGGCAGATGCTCGGCACCTGCCGCATTGTTTGTCCAGGCATTTTAGGTAGAGAGAGCACTCTGGTTAATTCTGAGAATGGGAGAACCTTGTTAATTCCGGGAATGGGAGAACCCTCCCCACACCCTCAGCCCAGAAGCCAGCCGGGCTCCAACCTGACAAGCCGCCTTTTTGAGGAGGGCAGTGGCAGGCCTGCTAGCTTAACTTCTGTCTATTTCTAAAAAGTGTTTTGTATTTATTATCTTTTAGTAAGGAAATAAGCGTTGCCACTGTGAAGTCCCAGATGCATCTCAGAATATAAAGGCTGGGGGAGAATCCTGGAATATAGCTCTTTGTATCACTTTGCACATAAGGAAGCCCATCCATTCTTTTAAAATGTTATCATTTTTAGTCTATTTTTATGAGATATACATATAAAAAAAAAAAAGAGTTTGGATCTTCAGTGCTCTCTTTGTGGAGTTTGGACAGTTGCACGTGATCACTGTCCAGGAGCAAACCCAGAGCGTTGCTGTCGTCCCCAGCTCAGGGTGGCTGGTTCCCCGTCTCTAAGCGATGCCCCCGCCAGGCGCAGGCACCCTTGGTGGGTGTCACTGTCTGTCGGCAGCACCATGCGATGTGGGATTCATGCAGTGCGCATCTTTTTGGTGTCCTGTGTCTTTCACTCAAGATAACACCTTTGCAGGTGCTCCAAGTGGCTGCGTTCCCAGCGGTCTGCTTATTTTTCTAGCTGAGTAGAAACGCTATGTGGCGTTCATGCTCCCGGTGTTCGTGCCCTTTCTCCTGCTCACAGATGTCTGGATCGTGTCCAGTTCAGGATTATTGTGACCAAGGCTTTGGATGGATATAGAGTTGCACTTCTCTGGCTTAAACATTCGGTAGTAGTAAGATACATGTATATTTAATTTTATGAGGAACTGCCAAGCTTTTCTCTACTCTCATGATTTTATTTTATTTTATTTTTTAATTTCATGTTTTTACACGTCAACTGGTGATACATGAGTGTTGCACTTGCTCTGAATCGTTGCTGACATTGGATGTCGTCGGATTGTTTGGTTTTTTAGCTGCTGCAGTGAGTGTAAAAGAAAATCTGTCTCATGGGGGTAATTTTCATTTCGCTCACGACCAATAAGGCTGAGCACCTGTTGGCCGATTAGTTTTTTGTATTACCGTATCTTATAGAAAGCACATATTCAATTATTTATCTACTTCATTATGTTGTTCTTTTTCTTATTAATTTGTCCTTTTATATATACTGGAAATAAATCCTTTAAAGATAATTTTCTCATAGGTATTTCCCTGATGTGTGGCTTACTTATTCAGATTCTTTTTGATCTCTTGATTATTTTAATTGAATGTTTCTTTTAATTATTTTAAGTTATCCCATTCTTCTCTTAACAATCACACTTCCTTTTCTAAGTCATAAATTTGAAGCATCTAAAAAAGTAATCATCTCTAAGAAGAAAAGAAAAATTCCTTATAGCTCATTGTTCTGTTCTAGTTACTGTATTAGCCTTGTTCAAATTGAAGTTTTTCTTTTTCATTTTATAATAGCAAGCTATTTTATTTTGCTGCCTGATCAGATAATATGCTGGTTTGAGAGTTCGTAAGGAAAAACATTATGGATATTCGTATTGTTAAGAAAAGTTTTCAAGCACATAATATAACTGAAAGTTTTAGAATAGACATGAACTGTGAAATAATCAGTCCTGACCTTAATTTTTTGCCATAGTCATTGTTCCATGCATGCAATATGGTTTTAAAAAAATTTTATTTGATTATGATGACAATACTATGCATGAAATCTACCCTCGTAAATGTTTAGGCATTCGGTATAGTATCCTTGGCTAATGTTACAAGGTTTCATAGTAAATCTTTAGAACTTATTCATTTTTCCCAATGAAAATGTTATGCCTGTTGATTACTAGCTCCCCATTTTCCCTTCTTCCAGCCCCTGGCGACCACCCCTCCACATTTTGAGCCTACGAATTTGACTGTGTTAGATGCTGCACGTGTGTGGGACCGTGCAGAATCTGTCTTTCTGAGACTGGCATGTTTCACCCAGCATCAGGATCTTGGGGTCCATTCAGGGTGCATCTTGCAGAATCTCGTTCCCATTTAAGGTTGAACAGTCCTGTGCTGTGTGTGTGTGTCCTGCTTCCATCCTTCATTGGTCTATTGATGACGCCGAGGTTGTTTCCAGGCCTTGGCGACTCTGGAGACCACTGCAGAGAGGAAGGGAGTGCGGGCATCTCTTTGAGATCCTGATCTCGGTTCCCTTGGATGGAGCTGTGTTCCCCGAGGTGGGGTTGCTGGATCATATGGTAGTTCCATCTTTGATTTGCTGACGTGCTTGGACGCTGCTGTCTATAGCAGCCATGCCTTTTTACGTTGCCACCAACAGGGTGCAAAGCATCTCTCCACATCCTCACCACCACTTGTTACTTTGCTGACAGCCCTTCTGACACATGTGTGAGGCATCTCACTGGGTGTTGATTTGTGTTTCCCTGATAACTAGTGATGGTCAGCATCTTTTCTTGTACTTTTTGGCTTTTTTTTTTTTTAATTTAGAACTTGGAAATAATTTACTATATATTTTTTGCTGTGTGTATCTCTCCTTTGAAGAAATGTCAAAGTCTTTCCCCCCATTTTTAATTGGGTTATCGTTTGTTATTAGTTTGCAGGTGTTCCTGATGTATTTTGGATAAATGGTTATGGGCAATGTGGTTTGGAAATGTTTTCTCCCACTTACCTTCTCAATCTGTTATTGTTTCCATTTCTGCACGAACTTTATTACTGTTATGTAGCTTTCTTTGTTTGTTCCTGCCTATGGTCTTCCTAAAAGTGTCTTAGGATCAGTAGAGATACTTTGTTCCTTTTACCTTTCACGCTTTATATTCTAATTCGGGTAATTTTTGTTGCCCCATTTTCAGGGTCTCTCTGTTTTTTTCCTTTGTTCATAAAATGAATTCTTTATTTTTCATGTTATATCTCTCTTGTTAAATCTAATGTTTACAGTTGCTTCTTTGGTATTTTCATCTTACCCCGGAATTCCTCATTTCTTAACACATGCTGTTTATGTTTCCTGCTGCGTTTGGTTCTACATCCCTGAACAGATTTACTGTTGATGTCTTAAAAGCTGAATGTGATAGTTTTAACATT